AGCAACCCAGGAAGGGTTAAGAGAGAACTCACTGTCTCTTTAAAAATAACTAATATAACTCAATGCTTTCCTTGGCACCTGTGATTTAAGGACTGAAGGTTCAAGATGGCTTTCCTAGCCACTGAATGTGACTTGGCCATGTGGATGGATGGGAATGTGTGAACATGGTGGGTTAGCCTATCCACAAGGGGCTTACTCATCTCACAGGGAACTGGCTAGTCTCACCATTAAACTGAGCAGATCCAGCAACAGAATAGGAGAAAATTCCCTGCCAGAAAAGAACAAACAATAGAATGTAATATGTCCTTCAGGACCTGAGACTCTTGAGTCAACCAGAGCAGGGCCTACAGGAACAGCAGCCACAACAGAGGACCAGAGACCTGACATGAAATTGAGCTGATTTTAGCACTACTACACCTTTGGATCAGAGCTAAGAGCCCAAGTTTGTTGGAGGACTTTCAGGGGGAGAGCCACTTCTGACAAGACTGAGAACTTTTTAACACTGGCCTAAATCAGCAAGGCTCAATGCAGAGGCACCCACAAACAAATTTCAGAAGCTGCCCTTTTTGCATTCTGATACTATCCTGAATTACAGCCTTTTGACTTTCCATATAAGGTTCAGTGTGGTCTGTGAGCTATTGCATTGGATTTTTGGCCCAGTAAAGCAGTTAAGATTGGTGCAGGAAGGTAGGGAACATGCCCGACCTCCTCAAAATTTGTATTGTGTTGTGACGTTCGTAAAGGCTCTATATGGCCATCCCCACATGGCCTTGAGCTGCAATCCCTAAGACAAGTGATTTGAATCCACCATCTGCTCTGTGGGAGAAAGGACAATTTTTTCCCCCATGCAATTTACTGCCTTTGAAAACCTCCTGCTGGGTCAACTAGGGGTCAGTTTCCACTCAATGGTACACAACAACAACAAATGCTTAACTATGAATTCGGGATTAAAGTGCAGCTTCTTTTCACTAGGCCACCAGAGCTCCCTATTTATTATTTTAAAAAAGAAATCTATTTTTAGCAAATAACAGTTTTTACAATGACATCTTGAGCACAAATAACTGAATGATAAAATATGAATTTAAAATCTTTTCCAGGCTTAGTTAATTTTATATTTGTTCTTTTATAAATGTCTTGATTTGTTAAATCATTTAAGAATGGCCTGACTTATATCTTAAGGAATTATAAAAATATAAGCCATTAAGGAAATATAATTAAAAGTGAGGTTTTAAATGAAATGGGAATGAGAGTGAGAAATATATCCAAATCAATTAAACTCAAAAGTTTACTAAAAACATTTCTTTCATTTTGTTAATAAATGCTTTAATTTTTTTTTCCATAAACTCTCAAGTCCCAGTAATTAATTAAATACTGGGTCTTTTTTTAAAAAAAAAAGAGCTCTAGCACTTCATTATAATAGAAAAAATGGTTCCTTGAAATGTCATCTATTCATGTGTCACTAACATCAGGAAAATACTTTTTAAAACTGTGGGGGAAAGTACTTATTATATCTTACAGAACTGAGAAATATTAACATTAATGCAATCTTTGAAGACTACTAATTCTAATAAGGAAAAAGTCAGGTATTAATGATATTACTTAATAGCTAAACTTAATCTGATTTAGTAGCTCCAAATTTCCTATGTGGATGGTTTTTGTCTTCCAGTGAAGTAATGTAGATCTTGTATAAACTCAATGTTTCTTTAACTCTATTTCATTTTAAATCCCATGTCTCTATTCATTAAAAAAAAATCTCATGCTAAAATATATTTTAAAACTTTTACTTTTCCACTTATTAATCATGAAAATCTTTTGCTAGCATTATCTTAAAGGATATAAATTATGGTAACACTAACTTTATCTCTCCTGTAAAGTGGAAAAACAGACTTAAAACTTCTTTAAATCCATTTCAGTTGGAGATAGCAATAAAATTAGGTAACATAAGGATTTTTTCTGTTCTCAACCTGAAATTTTAATTTTATAAGCACATTTACCTTCTTTTAGCCTGAAAAAAAAATGTAAACTCAGGTTTACAGGTAATTAATTAACTAACAGGTAATTAATATTTTTATTTCAGACTGAGCTATTCTTTCAAATCTGCTCATTTAAAAAAGTAACTCATTCAGAAATACTAGAATAATTGAATAAGAATTCTGATCATCTAAGTGGAAAATAGGGAACTCTGGTGGCCTAGTGGACATGGAGTTTTGCTGCTAACCCAAAGGCAAGCAGTTCAATACAGCAGCTGCTCCACAGGACAGATGGGCAATCATTTCCCATCTGATTTACAACCTCTGAAAATTCACTGGAGGGTCAGTTAGGAGTTGGTTCTAACTAGATGGCAAATGACAACAAGGGAAGAAACTTTCCAATAGTCATTTTTATTTTATTATATTGAAAAATACAGAGTAAACTTCCAATCTCTGAACTCGGAAACATAATAGAATTTAGCCAACTCCATTATAAAATTCCGTGCTACTCTTAATAGTGGATAACAAGAGAAGTGAAGCTGCTATTAACCATGCTAGGGAAATCTAACACTTTGTAAAGCTGAGAGAAAGTGAGAAATGTAGCTCTGTGGTGCCATCTCTTGGACTGTTAAATTTCTTGTGACAACAAAAGTCTCAGTACAGGAGTTCCGAGATGGTGCAAACAGCTACCAACCAAAGGCTGGAGGCTTGAGTTCACCTCAGAGAAAAGACTGGCATTCTGCGCCTGAAAAAATTAGCCGCTGAGAATCCTACAAATAGACTCTGCAGCAACTGGTAACATTACAAAAAAAAAAAAAATTATTTCTTCCTCTATCATCATGCTGAAGATAGATAATTAATTTTAGTACATTTTTCTTAAACTATATATGCCCTAATTTATTCTCACACTTCTATCACATGAGAAGGATTGACAACCTTTTCCCATGCGATTAACTGCCCCTGAAAACCCACCAGAGGGTCATCTATGACTTGGTTCTGACTCTACGATACACACAACAACACAAAGAATGTGGAATACTATAATTCCATTAAAAATGCTTAAAATAAAGGCCTTTTAAATTAAAAAACTATGGGTTCTCAAGAACTTATTGTAGTCATTCTTCAAATATTGCCTCCAACCAGCATCAGCAACAGCTGGACAACTGTTAGAAACACCTCACTTTAGACTGCACCTGATTCAGACCATGGTCTTTGCAATTACTTGCTGTGCATCAGAAAGCTGGACAATGACTAAGGATGACAGGAGAATATTGATGTCTTTGAGTTGTGGTGCTGGAGAATATACCATGGACTGCCAAGAAAACAAGTAAGTCTGTCTTGGAGAGAGTGAAACCAAGTTGTTCCTTGGAAGCTAGGATTCTGAAGCTCCATCTCACACACTGTGGGCACATGGCCAGGAGGGACCAGTCCTTGGAGAAGAACATAAAGTTTGGAAGGGTGGATAGATAGCGCAGGAGAGGAAGAGAAAGACTGACACAGTAACTGGGGTAATTAATGGGAGTAGGTGTGTCAGAGTCAGTGAGGCTGGCTCAGGATAGGGCAGGCTTCAGAGCTGTTGTACATAGGGTTGCTATCAGTTGCTATAAGTTACGTGACTCAATGGCTTAACAACAACAACAAACTCATTCAGAAACACTGGCATGATGAGTTAGTCTGTATTTACAGATAGGTAAAATTTAATTATTAAGATGTCAATTCCTTCCAACTTGATCTAAGGATTCTACACAATTCCATCAAAATGCTAGCTAATTACTTGCTATCAAATTAATTTAAAGTTTAAACAGTAGGGCTGAAGATCTCGAATAGCCAACATAATACTGAAGAACAATAGTTTTAGGATTGTCACTGTATTACTGTAAAGCTACAGTGAACAAGATTATATGGTATTGGCAAATATAAAGTAAAACTCTGAATAGATAGTATTTAGGCAAATATAGGCTAGCTATCACTTTTGGTTAAACATTCTTCTAAGTGGTAAAGCACTGGTCTGTCCATTTGCTGTACAAAGGTAACTCGTGGTTGCTATGATGCTAAACCCTGTGCACTGTTGTGTCAAGAGAGATAATGGTTACACATGGTACAGAGTGTTTGGTGGAGCTCCTTGATTAAAACAAGCTTGGAAGCAGGAGTGGAATCACTTCTGTAATAGCTTGCCTCTGGAAACCCTATGAACTTGGAGAAATGATGAAAGTTATCCAAGTGTTCAAATCTTTCGTTCATAGGGTCGCTATGAGTTGTCTATGACTCGATGGCACTTAACAACAACATCAACCGTATAGGTAACTAAAAATGCCAGTGTCTGGCAATAAACTAACCAGCCTAGCTTTTGATGGTTATGGAAGATCACTCAGAGTTGGAATTGACTTGATGGCAGTAGGTGAGTGATGTTTATGTTATTAGAGGAAAATCAATTCAGAAAAAGAGGGTAAGAATAGTTACATAACTTGAAAAATGTAATCAGTATCACTGAATTGCATGTTAGGAACTATTGAATTGCTATGCTTTGCTATGCATACTCTCAACAAAAGCAACAAATAAAAGATTATTTAAAAACCAATTACAGCAACATACAAGTGGATGTAACAAGAGAAATAGTAAATGGCAACAAATTTCATCAAAATCAAACACCACTTTCATCTTGTCACTCTCCCATGGGCTTCCTAACCAGCTGTGACCCCATCTAGTTCACACTTCTACAGGGTTTCAAAGTCTTTCGAACAAGCCCCACAGTCTACTTATTCTATAAAACTCCTTACTTACCTCCTTGACTTATCTATTACATGAGTCTTGTCACTCATATATCTTTATTTCCACATGAGCCTTTTGCTCAGACTATTCCCCTTGGACAGAATGCCCAGGGCTCTCTTCCCTAGCTGCTGACATAGGTCCTATCAATCTTTCTAAGTTAAGCTCAGTTTATGCTTTCTAGGAAGTCTTCTTCATCATTAACTTTATATATATATTTTTTTTTCACTTGTATCAATGATGAGAGTAAAACAGTCTACTTACTCCACCCATTGTAATTCCATTAATAAGTGCAACAAATGGTTTCTGGCAAGAAGCTTAAGAAAAAAGAAAGAAAGCAATAATAAGTTGAAATGTTTATAATACATTCATTTTTTTTTACCAATAATTATATATTACATCAGCTCTAACTATTTTCGGCAACAAATTTTTACAGAAAAATACTAAAGTACACTAAAATGGTTTGTAAAAGAATTTCTTTTTAAACTCAATTTATGAACATTTCTAAACTTCTACTTATTATCATTTAAAACCAAGTAGTTCAATTTGAAACAAATTAAAGCCCTTTATGACTCAGCTATTGAGAAATATAACATTTGCTTTATAGACTCCTAGATTTATATACACAACTATATTTTTTAAAAACATAATTTGCTACCAATGCATTTGAAGATAAAGAAATGTCTGGGTGCATAAAGATAAGTACAGCACACAGAAAACATGGAGTTAGAAAATTCAGATTCCAGTCTCACCTTTATCCTTAACTGGCAACTCAACTAGGCACAGTCTAAACCGCAGGGGTGGGTGTCAGGTGGGGGGTGATCTTATGCCACTCTCCAAAAGAGTCTTAAAGCACCATGCTGGTAAATTTGGCTTTGTTTACAAACAAAACCTTTGAAGAACTTAACATGAGTAGGGGAGGTTCTAATGCAATTTTAGTCGTACCCTTATAAAAGAAATGAGACATAAAGATAGATGTGCATGGAAGGAAGACAGTCAGGCCATGTGACATAGGAGGCAATAACTGCTGCAAGCACAAGCCATGAGAAAATAGTCCAGGGCTTCCAGAAGCTAGGGAAGACAGAGAAGCTCCTCCCAGGCCTTCCGAGAGAACACAGCCCTGCCAACACTCTGCACCATGACCTCTAGTTGCCAGAAAACCAAAGCCCGCCACCAACTCAATTCCAATTGGTGGAAACCCTCCACAGGTTGCAAAGCAGTTTTAAAAAAAAAAACCACCACAACATAAAAAAACCCCACTCTTAAGGAAAGTAGGGTCTCATCTTTCTCCCACAGAAGAGCTGGTGGTTTTGAACTGCCAAACTTTTGGTTAACAGCCCAATATATAATTCACCATGCTACCAGGTTTCCTCAACTTCTAGAATCGTGAGATATAAGTCTGTTCTTAATAGCCACTCAGTCTGAGGCACTTCATAATGGAATAACTAATAGTTAATATAGCTTTCTCTTTGTATATTAACATTTTTATAGAACCATCTTTTTAAATTCCTTAAAGGCCCTTAAAAATTAGGAAATTCCAATATAAATTCTCTATAAAACTTCATTTTATAGAGAAAATTGAAACTAAATTTTTTTTATTTTTTTAAAGAAGTCAGCCATGTGGTAGTCATAGTGACTTTATAATAAAAAGGTAACTAAATATGTACTGTTGTTGTTAAGCTCCCTCAAGTCAGCCCTGACTCACAGCGACCCTAAGTACAAAAAAAAACCCCACAAAACTCTGCGTGATCCTGAACCATCCTCACAATCTCAATTAGGTATAAACCCAATACTGCAGGGTGTCGCTGTTTGGTGCCAACAAGTACAACTCATGGCGATCCTCTGAACAGTCCTCCTGAACTCGGTCCTATCCTGAGCCATTGTCATCATCTCTGACACACTTGAGCCCATTGCTGCAGTCACTATGTTAGTCCGCCTGGCTAAATGTCTTCCTCTCTTTCACCAACCCTCCACCTTTCCAAGCATGATGTCCTTTCCCAGGTTATTTATTCTCCTAGAAACATACCCAAAGTATGTGAGACAGAGATTTTGCTATCTTTGCCTCCAAGGAGCACTCTGGCTGCACTTTCTCCAAGAGATACATGTTTGTTCTTTTGGCAGTCTAGGGAATATTCAACAGTCTTCTCCAACACAACTCAAAAGCATCAGTTCTTCTGTCAAATTATAAAGATACTACAGTATAGCTTCCTAGTAATATTAGAAGATAATTTTTTTAAATAATTCACAAGAGTGAGTAATCATTTGTGGGATCATCTATTCAGTGCCTCTCTTTCCCACTGGAGTTTCATGCTCAATGAGGGCAGGAACCATGCTGTCACCCACAATATCCTTTACCATAGTGACTGACAATGAGCTTGGCACACAGCATACAAAAGACGAAATAAGCACTTCTATTGATTAGGTTTTTAAACGTATCATAGTATTTCTCAGATCCAAAGCTCTCAGCAGAGGATACATACCGATAGCATTATTAAGGATGTATTCTTCTCTGAACAAATCTTGAGATAGCTTTGGGTTTGCTTTTACAGATTCAGAGAGAACTAAAATTGGAGAGATTAAAAAAAAAAAAGATGAAGATGTAACTGCATATCACAAAGGGTATGTCCCACTAAACACAGTCAAACAGAACAAATTAAAAGTACTATGATATCAGGTAATGAAGGGGAAACTCTAGAATGGTTTATTATTAAAATTTTTAAGTTATTCATGTCAGAGTCAATCACAGATCCATAGCCCAATATCAAGCCTCAACACTATTAAGAACTTCTTACAGAATGTTACTTTTAAAAATCCTAAGCTGCTATAAACTGCACTTTCTTTGAACAGTTTTTATCTAGCATCTTAAGAAATAGGTGATACACTTTTCCTTCAGCAATACAATTTAACATCCAAAAGCACATCTTATTCATATAGTGTGTATCTAGGTAAAAATGTCTGCCACATACACTTTATTGTGAAACATGTATTAAGTACCTACACTGCATCACAAACTATTAGGTGTTGCAAATAACAAGACAACATTTAAGGTTGTTCCCCTTTGTTCAAATTAGTAGGAAGATACCCTACTATGATGATAAACTCTTTGTGCTATGCCCAATACAAGGCTTAGTGTTTGTGGTACGTGACTGGCGGGTGGGGGTAGTAAGTGAAAGGTGACTACCCAGAAGAAATAAAATGAGCCACATTTGAACAGATAGGCAGGGAATGACAGAGTTGTAACTGGATGAAACTTTATATAAAGGCAAAAAATAACAGAATCAAATAAAAACAGTCAGTTCTTTTTTATAATCTTAAGGGAAATAACAAGAGGTTGTTATTGCTATTGTTAGGTGTCATAGCATCGAGTACAACCCATAGAGACCCTAAGAACAACAAATCTAAACTTCCTAACACACTAGAGCCCGTTACAGCAGTCAACGTGTTAATACACATGGCCAAGTGTCTTCCTTTCTTCGCCAGCCCTCTACCTTTCTGAGCACCATGTTCCTCTCCAAGGAACAGTCCCTACTGGCAACATGCCTAAAGTATATAAAGCAAAGCCTCATCATCTTTTGGCTCCAAAGAGCACTCTGCCTGCACTCTCTCCAAGACATATTTGTTTGTTCTTTTGGCAGTCCATGGATTGTTCGGGGCTCTTCTCCAAACACAACAGCTCAAAGGCATCAATTTTTCTTCTATCATTCTTATTCACTGTCCAGCTAAGATGCATAGCAAGTGATCAGAATGACCATGGCCTGAATGAGATGAATCTTAGTCCTCAAACTGACACATCATTACTCCTCAATAATATGGAAAGGTCTCTAGCTGCAGATTTTCTCAGTGTAATGTCTTCTGATTTCCTAACTTCTGGTACTAAGGGTGGTAACTGTGGATTCAAATAAGATGGAAGTTGTTGACAGTTTCATTCTCCCCTGCATCTTTCATGATGTTGCTGTTGGTCCAGTGGTAAGAATGTTTTCTTGACATTGAGATGCAATCCATATTGAAGGCTGTGTTCTTTGATCTCCTGCAACAAGTGTTTCAAGTCCTCCACATTTTCAGCAAGGAAGGTTATCTGTATAACACAGGTTATTGATGAGTCTCCCTCCAATCCTGATGCTACATTCCTCTTCATAGAGTCCAGTTTCTCAAACACGTTGCGCAGCAAATGTATTTAATAGATATGGAGAGAGAATACAACCCTGAAGCACAACATTCTTAAATTCACTGGACCAATTGGCAGCATCAGGATGAATGGTGAAGAGACTGAGATTGTTCACAGCTTTAGTTTGCTTGGCTCCACAGTCAACACTCTTGGCACCAGGAGCCAGGAAATTAAAAGGTGTATTGCCATGGGAAAGTCTGCTGTTAGGGACCTCTCTAAAGTACTGAAGAGCAATGGTGTCTCTCTGGAGACTAAGGTGCATCTGATACAGGCCATGGTCTTTGCAATCACTTCTTACGCATCAGAGAGTTGGACAATGACTAGGGAGGATAGAAGGAGAACTAATGCCTTTGAGCTGTGGTGCTGGAGAAGAGTACTGAATATCCATGGACTGCTAGGAAAACAAACAGATTCATCCTGGAAAGGGTTAAACCAGGTGGCTCCTTGGAGGCAAGGATTCTGAGGCTCCATCTAACATATTTTGGACATGTTGTGAGGAGAGACCGGTCCTTGGAGAGGGACATCATGCTTGGGAGGGTGGAGGGACAGTGCAGGAGGGGAAGGCCGTCTATGAGGTGTATTGATGCAGTGACTGGGGTAATCGGGATGGGAGTGTCAGAGACAGTGCGATTGGTACAGGACAGAGCAGAGTTTAGGGCTGTTGTACATATGGTCTCTATGAGTCGCAAGCGACTCGACGGCACAAAACAACAACAGTGTTCCCTTGCTCTGTTCCCACAACAGTCTCTTGGTCTAGGTATGTGAACAAGCACAATTAAGTGCTCTGGAATTCCCATTCTTCTCAATGGTAGCCATAACTTGTTAAGATCCACACAGTCAAATGCCTTTTTTGCTTTTGCATAGTCAATAAAGCACAAATAGATTATTCTTCTGGTATTTTTTACTTTCAGTCAGGATTCATATGACATCAGCAATGATATCCCTGGTACCACAGCCTCTTCTAAATCCTGCTTGATCTTCTGGCAGTTCCCTTTCTATGTACTGTACAAGATGTTTTTGAGTGATCTTCAGCAGTATTTTGTTTGCATGTGATTTAATGATGTTATTCGCTATCAAGAGTTTAACAGTAACAATAGGAAGAGGTCAGAAAGGTAGATAAGAAAGTTACTGTTTAAATGTTCTAATCCACCCAGTGGTGCCAAAGGAGGAAGGCTGGTGATCTACATTCATGAAGACTACAGCCAAGAAAACTCTGTGATGCATCTCTACTCTGTCCATACCCACTAGAAGTTACTCAACAGCAACATATTAGTTTTATTCTTATCTATAATATCAGTTGAAATAAGACAAATGAAAATATAACTTCCAAAGCTACTGTTACAGAATACTACTATTAGTACCTTGGTAAATATATGAACCATAAATATTTGCTGAGCAACAAACACTATTCGATTGTTTCACTTTTACTGCAATATCTTATTATCTATACACCACATCTCCTACCATGTTCCTACTGCAATCAATTTGGAAACTGCTACTAAAATTTACCTGCCAAAAAGAGTCAGGAAATCAAAAGACAAATTGTATTGGGAAAATCTGCTGTCAGGGACCTCTCCAGAGTACTGAAAAGCAATGATGTCAGTCTAGAGACTAAGGTGTGCCTGATCCAGTCCTTGGTCTTTGCAATTACTTGCTATGCATCAAGAGAGCTAGACAATGACTAAGGATGACAGAAGAATCAAAGCCTTAGAATTGTGGTGCTGGAGAAGAGTCGAACATACCATGGATTTCCAATAGGTCAGTCTTGGAAAGAGGGAAACCAAGTCACTCCTTGGAGGCTAGGATTTTGAAGCTCCATCTCATACACCGTGGGCATGTGGCCAGGAGAGATCAGTCCTTAGAGAAGGACATCATGCTTGGAAGGGTGGAGAGACAGTGCAGGAGAGGAAGACTGTGGATGAGATTGATTGATACAGTAACTGGGGCATTGGGGGTTATGATGTTAGAATTAGTGAGATATGATGTCAGAATTAGTGAGACTGGCTCAGGACAGGGCTGGGTTCAGAGCTGCTGTACATAGGTCACTATGGGTTGCAGGCAACTCAACAGCACAAAACAACAACAAACAAATACAGCCAGTTTCATTGAAGTAAATCTGCAATGTTCTTATGCTCTGTGAAAATTTCCTACTAAAATATAAATCAAATATATTATGCAAGTATGTTTCTATTTTATAAAGAAGTTATGTAAAAATCTTAAATATTTAGACTTTTTGACTAATTCTATTGAAAACTCTGTTTTATCTTCACTGAAAATGTCTCAAATGTTGACTCATTTTCTATTTTTTTGAGAAAAAAGAACTGATACGTAATTTTCTTAGTCCATGACTCTCACTGAAATAGGGCAAAAACATTATCAACATATCAATTCTGGAAAAAAAAGGGGGGGTACAAGAGGTACAGTCTTTGAATAGAAGTTTTTTACATAACACTCAGTGTATTCACATAGATAACTGGGAATTTTCTTTAAGGTGATTCACGAAGTGAGACAAACAGATGCATCTAAGAAGTGTACACTGGCAGTTCTGTTTGTTTTTCTGTAGTACTGTTCCCCTCATTTTTCTAACACTAACCACAAAAGTTTAATTTTTAAACATCCTTTTCTTCTTTGTTAATTAAATTATGCATTAATAACTTAAAAAAATCTAAAACGTGAAACAAATTACAAAGTACTCCAAATATCTGCAAATACTCCATCAGTTCTATTGGAGAGAAAAAAAAAATAAAACTTTTAGGTAAGGAATAGAAAATTCTTTTACCTCTAATATCACCACCAGCACAGAAAGCTTTTCCTCCAGTTCCCTTTATAAGGATCAGGAATGTTCCTGGATCTTGTTCCCACTTCTAGTTGCATATAAAAGATTGTATAAGCATATTATAAATCATTACTGGCAGCAGTCATCAAGTCACCATTCATGTAAAATAAAATCAGATTGTTGTGTTCCGTAGGTTTATTTTTAATTTTTGTAAACATTTTTAAATCATGATTTGAGTTAAAGTTTAAAAACTAGTTTATCATTCAATCATTCACAAACATTTTGTTTTATAATATTTATCACAATACTTAGTGACTGATCATCCTCTTATCATACACTATCTTTCCCTTAACCAATCATAGAGAGCTGATCTAACCTAAAGGAGGCCAGTTCAAATCTGTCAGCACCTCTGAGAAAGAAAAACAACAAAATGGTCCCACAGGATTTAGAGCCTCTCAAAACCCAAGTGGGAAAGGTGGAGTGTTAGCAAAAGAGAGAAAACCCTCAACAAAATGGATCGGCACAGTGACAGGAACAATGGGCTCGAGTGTATCAGAGATGACGAGGATGGCTAGGACAGAGCAAGGTCAAGGTTCAGATACACTGTTGTGAGCTGTCAACCCAACAGCACCTAACAGCAACAACAACGTACAATGACAGTGGTCTTTTTTTTTTTTTCATTATTAAATTTTATTAGTTTCCATGAACATTCACAGGGATTCTGGGCTTTCACTCCTTCATTGCCGCACCATTCTCTCCACCCTCCTCCCCAGTGGTCTTATACACTATTTGTCCCTTTGTGATTGACTTGTTTCAATAGGCATAATGTTCTTTAAATTCATCCATGTAGTGTTTCCATAATTTTTTTTCCATGTTCTTTAGTGTTGCATAGCATGTAACTGTATGATTGTACATTGTACAGACTTTCTTCATCCACTCACCTGTTGAAGAACTTTTGGGTTGTTTTCATCTCTTTTCATTATTTTAAATAATGCTGTAGCATGGAGATATATATAAAATATATATGTATATATAAAAGTTTATATCACAGTTCTTCTTTACAGTTATTTATCTAGTAGTGACAGTAACTTAATTTTGAGATTAAGTGATATTTCCACTTTTTAATGTTTCTCCTCCATGAGGAGTGTCAGCATTCGTTGTTTACCATCTCACTGAGCTTTGCTATTACTGCTGGGGTGAAATGATATTTCATCATTTTGACTTGAACTTCTCTGATAAAAGATCTTGAGGACTTCTTCATATGCTTGTTCCCCATCTGAATGTCTTCTATGTCCATTATGTAACTGAGGTTTTTCTTTTCCTTGGTGAGGTGTTGGACTTTGCTAGAGATGAGCCCCCCGACAGATATTTCATTGTCAAATATGTTTTCTCATTCTATAGCTTCTCTTTTTATTCTTTTGGAGAAGTCTTTTGATATACACATTGGTTTGATTTTTAGAAGGTAGCATTTGACTATTTTCAGTGCTCTTCGTCATTTCCTTCTTTCATTTTGGCTTCTCTACTTTGAAGAGCATTTTTCAGGGTCTTTTCTGCCATTTTGGTCTTTTTTTTTTCTTGTCTTTTTAGTGACTCTTTGCTTTCTTCATGGATGATAACTGTGGTATCATTCCACAACTTAACTGGTATTTGGACATTAGAGTTCAATGCATCAAATCTTTTATTCTTGAGATGATTTTCACACCCAAGTGGGATAAACTCAAGTTTGTATTTTGGCTGTCATAAACTTGTTTTCCTTTTCTTCCATTTCAGTTTGAACTTGCAAGTAAGTAATTGAAGCTCTCATTCCACAGTCAGCCCTTGGCCTTGCTTTGACTGCTAATACTGAGCTTCTGCATCAACTCTTTTCACAGCTGTAGTCAATCTAATTCCTATCTAGTCAATCAGGTAAGGTTCATGTGTAGAGTCACTATTATTTTTTTAAAGGTATTTTATTTTAGAAAATACAAAATTCTTGCATATAATCTCTCTCTTCATTTCTGTCACCAAGGCTATGTTTTCCAACTATCAGTCCTTCCTTGTTTCCAACTTCTGCATTCCAATCATTAATTATTAATCCATCTTGGTTGCATGTTCAATCAGTCTCAGATAGTTCTCTCCCTCATCTGTTTCAATGCAGTATACATAATTTATCCCATCTTTCTCAGTCACCCTTTAACCCCAAAGTCGGTCTCGTTTTACAGCAGTAGCACTATGCAGTATTTGTCCTTTTGTGACTGAGATATTTCTTTCAGTAACATCCTCCAGGGTCACCCATTTTGTATAATATTTCATGAATTCTTTGTTTTTCATTTTTTTTAAAAAATTTATTTTATTTTATTATTATTTGTTTGTACCGTCAAATCAGATCTGACTGGTTCAGGAGGAGATTGTTCCTCCTTCTCCAGTGGAGCATCTGGTGGATTTGAACCGTGTACCTCTGAGATTGCAGTGCAGTTTCTTGCCACTAGGCCACCAGAGCTAGCCAGAGTTCTTTGTTTTTCAAAGCAGTGTAGTATTCCATTATGTGACTATACCACAGCTTCTCTATCCATTCGTTTGTTGATAGACACTTAGATTGCTTCCAACACTTTACTACTGTGAACAAAGCCGCAATAAACATGGATGTGCATATGTCGGTTTGGGTGGCAGTTATGGCTTGTTTGGGGTATATTCCCAGTAGTGGAACTGTTGGGTCAAATGGTATTTCTATTTGCAACTTCTTGAGAAAGCAAAATACTGCCTTCCATAGTGCTTGTACGATTTTACACTCCCACCAATAGTGAATATGGGTTCAAGTTTCTCCACAACTACACCAGCATCTGATGTTTGCTATTCTGTTAAATTTTGCTATTCTTACTTGGGTGAGATGGTATCTTTTGGTTGTTTTAATTTGCATCTCTCTTAGACAAGGGATTATGAACATTTCTTCATGTGTTTGCTTGCCATCTGAATGTCTTCTTTGGTGAAGTGTCTGTTCATATCCTGTGCCCATTTTCCAATTGGGTTGTTTACCTTTATCTTGTTGTGGTGTGGTATCTCTTTTATAGCAAGAAGTCATAGGTCTAAGATTTGATTCTTTGGAAAGAAAAACAGATATGTTTACTAAGAAATACTTTTTTATTAATCCATTAAGAAAATTACCTTTAACTGTGGATAAATTTGCTGAATCATGGTCAAAGTCAAGGCGTTCAGGCTCTTGGGTCTGTTCAGTGTGATGACTCCTGCACCACCTTGTTTTTCCAATAGCACTTCTGCTGTTGCATTTGTGTGTTTCGACATTACCTGTATAAATGAAGACTTTGATAATGAAATCCAGTAAACTGTTTACAACCCAATATAATATCAAAATATATAGAAGCCAAATACAAATGTTTCCCATAATGTTAGTGGTAACTAAAGAATAAGGCAGGGGCTCTGAGAGCCTAGCGTGTAGAGAGGTGAAGTGTCAACCCAAAGGCTGCAACTTGAATCCATAAGTTGCTCTAAGAGAGAAGGATGGGGGGAGGGCTGGGCGGGGAGAGAAGTGCAGCAATGAATGAATGGAACTCCAAAATCTCTGTAAATGCTCATTAAAATTATTTTTAAAAAAAAAAGAGAGAGAGAGAGAAAGATGGACGATCTCCTCCTATGAGATGTACAGCCTCTGAAAAACTGCTGGAGGGTCAGCCATGGGTTGGTTTCAACTCAATGACAATGAGTTTTTAGTTTAAACAATAGTTAGGTGCTTCCAAAAAACAGAAATTTCTAGTTTTTAGGTTATGCAGACAATTGTCAGAGCTCATAGAATTATAATACTTAAGATATTCTTTAGTTTTCTTTGTTACTGTCTCTCACTTTCTAACATTGCTGTCTAGTCAGAAATTACTCATATCTGATCTTCAAATGTATGGGAGTTCCAATCTCTTGGGTTTTAAAGTCTATAAACTACACAAGAGATGACTGGTGATATTTCTCCCACAGAGCAGTTAGTGGATTCAAACCACCTGCTTTTGGGTTGAAGTGCAATTCTTTATCCACTAGGCCTCTCCTCAGATATACTGTTGATGTGTGCCATCAAGGCAGAATCAACTCATAGTAGCTGACCCTACAGTGTGTTTTCAAAGGCAGGAAATCACACAGGAGGAGACTGCCCATTTTTCTCCCATACAGTGGCTGGTGGATGTGAAACATGTACCTATGGGTTGGCAGTGCAGCACCTTACCAGTAGACCACCAGCAGACATGGGGACAACAAATAAACCCATAAAACACTTAACATAATTTGTCATTTGTTGCTATGAGGTACCTATGCAATAAATGACAAATTATGGCTAATGCTGAGAAGAATAGTTATACCAGAACACTTTTTTGCAACAGGTAACATCTTGATTGATGAGAAAACCTGTAGTTGTCAATTACTTCATTTTGCTTAGATCCACAATCTAATACTCACTGCAGCAGAAGTCAAAAAAATCAAAGTACATGTGTTGCATTGGCAACAAAAAACAACATAAAACCTGTTGTCAAGAATATCTCCAAAGTGCTAAAGAGCAAGGATATTAGTTTAAAAACCAAGACACACCTGAGGTAAGTCATAGTAATTCAAATTGCTTTCTATGCATCTGAAAAGTTCTACAATGAATAAGGGAGACAAAGAATCAGTGTCTTTTAATTATGGTGTTGGAGAAGATTACTAAATACTTAACAACAATAATCTGTTGATATCCCAATTATGCTATCTATCTATATTCATAAATTATAACTCCTCTAGATATAATAAAAAAGAAATTATGGATAACACTGGGAAGAATGGGAATTCTAGAACCAAAAGAAGAGAATATATTGGCATTTCTCAAGTTAAAAGAACTGAAGAACAAATTCAAGCCTTGAGTTGTAATCCTGAAGGAAGGATTCTATAGATAAAATCTTGAATAATTAGTGAAGCATCAAAAGAAAATGGAAGAGATTTAGTTATCTGTGGACTGGCTGGTGAAGCCTGAGGGTGGTCTGAGTGGCTCACAGGTTCCAGAATAAGAAGGTGGTAAAGGCCAACCAGGAACGAATTATCTCCTTCCTGAACAGCTATAGAAGAGGAGAGAGATGTGCAGTCAGTCATTACCACCAACAGAGAGTTGGGCACTGTTTGGACCTTGCCACCATCCCAGACCTTCTTCTGCTCAGGCAGGAAAAGCTCCCTCCCAAACAGACGAAAGAAAGGAAACAGGTAAGCGGGTTAGCCATTAGCACTAGCTGAGACTTGGAGTTGTTCTGTTTGGACATTGTCCCTTCTTTGGGTCTTTGTCTGCTTAGATGTTACCAGCTCTCTCCCAACAAGGTGCAGGAGGGGAGAAAGTACAAAAGTCAGCCTTTAGCACTAGCTGAGACTTGGGGACTACACTGTTGGGACCTTGCCTCTTCTCTGGCCCTATGTCTGATTAGGCGGGAGTGGCATCCTCCTGACAAGCCTCAGGAGACGAGAAGGCTGCACTAGTTGGCTGTCAGCACCATCTGAGACTTGGGGGCTCCACTGTTCAGACTTTGCCACTTCCCTGGGTCTTCTCCCTGAACATAACAGTCTGGACAGCCCTCCTAGGCCTTTGCCTAATTCTGGATAAAACACTCCCCTCTCATCAAGCTACAGAACAAGACAGAGAGGTTCCCAGACTCTCAGAGGACAACCAGAAGATAACTCTGCCATAGGAAATGAAGAACAGAGTTGTCTATAGGTGATTAGTAGGGAAGATTGCCACTGGGAATGTGAATCAGGACCAATACTTAAAGTCTGCAACATATCAACAACATCATAAACATAGAGAATTGCCAACAACCTACACAAACATAACAGAAACTGCCTCACATTTAACAAGAACATGATATAATGTAAATGAAGCAGCTGCCAGGTTCAAACATTACCAAAAATCAAAATAAACCTTCTCCGAAAAAACAAAAGTACCAACAAAAAACCCCCAAACCCAGATCAGATTGTATACCCAACTGAATACCATAAAGATAGGGAGGCAGAAGAAATATACAGACATGGAATTACATGAACAGCCACTGAGGAAGTTACAAATGATGGAAGAGAAAATTGAAACCATAAATACAATGACTACTCAAGTGACAGGGAGCCAGGAGAAATATATAGACTGGAGTTACATGAACTGCTATTAAAGAAGATACAAATGATGGAAGAAAGAATGAAACTATAATTAAAGTGGTACAAGAATTTAAAATATCATAAGACAGAAAGGGTACAACCAATACAGCACTAGAAAAAAACCAGAAATGCACAAAAAAGCAATCCAGTATATGAAGACTGAAAATGAAAGGTTTTTTCACCAAACTGGAGGGGCAAAAAAAGTGTAATAAAAGAGATGAAACAGAGAATCAAACAAGCAATGAGAACCTACTAGTAGAAAAAAAAAATAGAAGATGGAAGGGAAATGAAGAAAATATTAGAATCATATGGGGTGACATGAAACTGAACAACATTTGTATGATTAGAATTATAGAAAAAGAAGGGTGGGAGAAAAGCACTGAAAAAAATTGTAGAAGAGGTAACTGAAGAAATCTTCCCATGTATCATGAAAAATGAGAAAATCCACATTCAAGAAGCTCAGGAAACTCTAAACAGACCAGAACCCAAATAAAAAATAACAAGATATAATAAAATTCTCCCAAATCCAAGGTAAGGATAGAATGCTAAGAGCATCATGAGAAAAACAAAGAGTCACCTACAAAGGAGAACCAACTAGATTCAGCTCCAACTCTTCAGCAGAAACCATGTGAGCAAGAAGCTAATGGTATGGTTTATACAGAAGGTTGAAAGAAAACAACTGCCTGCCAAGGATCCTGTACCCATCAAAACTCTCCATCAAACACGAAGGAGAAATTTCATCATTTACAGAAAAGCAGGAACATAAAGAACTTGTGAAAACAAGACCAACTCTACAAGAAATACTAAAGGAAGTTCTCCCACGGAGACACAAAAGGGAAAAGGTTGGATCAATGCAACCAATAAGAAAGGAAAAAGAAACAGCAAAATAGCAACAACAAAGCCTGGCCTGTCAATAATCACACTTAATGTGACCGGTTTAAATGCACCAATTAGAGGAAAAAGAGTAGTAGAATAGACTTAAAAAAACAAAGTCCATTAATATGTTGTCTACAAGAGAAACATCTAAGAAACAAGGAAAAATACAGATTCAAAATCAAAGACTGGAAAAATATACCAAGCAAATGGCATCTATAAGAAAGCAAGAGTGGCAATACTAATCTGTAGAGAAAATAATGGACATAAGGATGAAACTATACTAAAAACATGCTCAAAATTATGTTTAAATGGCTAGAATATTGACAGGGAACTGCCAGAAATTCAACCTGGATTCAGAAAGATGTAGTGGTCTCAGAACATTACTGCTCATGTTAGATGGATTTTGGCTGAAAACAGAGAATATAAAATAGATGTTTACTTGTGTTTTATTGATTATCCAAAGGCATTTGTTTGTGTAGATAACAAATTATGGACAACATTGAGAAGAACAGGAATCCTAGAACACTTAACTATGCTCATGTGAAACCTATATATTGGCCAAGAAACAGTTATATGAATAGAATAAAGGAACACTGTATGGTTTAAAATCAGGAAAGGTGTGTGCCAGGGTTGTAGCCTTTCTCTACACCTATTATTCAATCTGTAGGCTGAATACATCATTCAAGAAGCTGAACTATATAAAGAAGACTGTGGCTACAGGATTGAAGGAAGACTTATCTAAAGTGCTCAGTAATCTCCATTATACCAGTTATGCCACCTTGCTTGAAGAAAGTGAGAATTTGAAGCACTTGCTGCAGAAGATCAAAGGCAATAGCATTCAATATGGATTATATCTCAACATCAAGAAAACAAAATCCTCACCAGTGGACCAAGAAGCAATATCTTGACAGAAGGAGAAAAGATTGAAGTTGTCAACAATTTCATTTTACTTGCATCTACAGTCAACACTCTTGCTAACAGTGTTTTAAAACATGTTACATTGTGAAAACATGTTGTCAAAGAAGTCTTTACACTACTAAAGAGTAATGTCAGTCTAAAGATTTAAGGTGCATCTGATCCAAACCGTAGTATTTTCAATGGCTTCCTATGCATCTCGAAGTTGAACAATGAGTATGGGTGATGGAAGAATAATTAATGTCTTTTAATTGAGATGCTGGAGAAGAATATTGAATATTCCAGGAACTGCCAACAGAATAGACAAGTGTTCCTTAGAGGAAGTACAACCACAATGCTCCTTAGAGGCAAGGATGGTGAAACTTCATCTCACAGACTTTCTGTATGTTATCGAGAGGGGCCAGTCCTCAGGAAAAGACATTATGCTTAGAAATGTCAGTGAAAGACCCGCAACAACATGGATTACAGAACAATGGGTTTGAGCATATCAGAGATAGCGGGGCTGTGGCTTAGGATAGAGCAAGGTTCAAGTCTGTTCACATGGCTGCTATAAATTATAGAGGACTAACAGGCACCTTACGACAACCACCTCCAGATGTTTCCATTGAAAAGCCAACATCATCTTCACTTTTGCTCATAACTGTAATTTTGGGGCCTTTTTATCACACTTTATTAGTGCATATTTCTACCTCTTTCACTTTTCATTTTTTGGGTCAAGAACTCTCCTGTCCAGAATAGTGTATCAAAGTATTTCTTTAAGGTCTTTGCATACAAGGTATTTTAAAGAGTTCTGTTCAAATGGCACAGATTGTAAGTTGGGTGCTCAGAGGTTACCATCCAAGTATACAGGATAAGACAGTTGTCATCATGAATACAATATGTGCAATAACATTTCATGCAATCTAGCCAATATATTTTCATACTATATTGAACTACTTTCTGGGTTGGAAGAAGGCAAGCATGTTATTTTCATGTTCAGGTTATGAAGAAATGAGTTTTAGGTTCATAAAATGCTCCCTAACAGCTTAAAATGATCACTATAGGGAATCTTTCAACAAATATTTTTGTAGTAAGACTATCCCAAATCAGTCTATGGATACAAACGAGAGAGCTCATTAGCAGGTGTGACGGGCTTTCATTAGCTCCGCAATCCCTATAGGCAAAAATTCAGCCCCTTGGCATTCTTTCTGCATTCTGTTCCCTATTTAGTATCTCCGAATGGTGATCAGTATTCTCACAAGTAAGTCCTAACCATTTTGCTTGGAGTACAGTCTCTTTATCATTCATGAAGCACATTTAAAAATCAACATTGTGATCCAGAATGGCATAGCCCTCAGATCCTTATAACAGAGAGTTTGTTTCTTCCCTCAAGGTGGTTTACGGCCCAGGTCATAGAGTCCCCAAATGATCAGGATTCTATCACATTTCCCCACCCCTCGGGTGTACACAAATATGAACATGAATCTCTGATACTGTTCCAAAATTTTTCCCATGAAATTTCCCAGCCCCATGTCAGCTTACTGAAATAAACAAAAGCAAGAATGCATATTCCAGTCTTCACATCACCTTATCCATTCAGGTTTAACTGATACACGTTCTACAGTAGTTATTTACTCTGTAGAACACTTATTCTGCCAGTAGTTAAATCTATGGAGCCTGGTCTCCTGAGTTTAAATCCAACCAGACTTCTTGAAGATATATGGTCATAACCTTATAATCATACACCTCATAACCTTATAATCATATACCTCATGCGTAATCATAACCTCAGGCTACCTATCAAAATATATTTGTGTCAGGACTAAATCAAAACCCTCCATCAGGTTTCCAAGGCCGCAAATTTCAATCAAAGGAGAATGCCTCACCTTTCCACCCACAGTAGTTGGTAGCTCAAACTGGCAGCCTTTCAGTTAGCAGCCCAACAGTTAAACTACTACACAATCCTGGTATCAAGGCCAGGTACTAAAAACTAGAAATCAATGTACCAATGTCAGCAAAACTTGTCACCCTCAGGTCTGTCCTATAACAACAACATCTGAAGTTACATATCACAAGAATGCCAGTAAAACAAAGTCCAAACTTACCAGATGCTGCAGTATGATATTTGTCCTTTTGAGTGAATTAAGTCTGAAAAAAATTACAATAAACAGTAATATGAGAAGTCATGTCTCTACTTGCAAACACTCTGTACTTATTTTCCCTTTCTAGCTTCTTTTAAAAGGTATCATAGCAACTGCACAATAATCTCTTCACCTAGAGCAGCAGAAGGAGCATGAAGAATAGGAGAAAATGGAATGTGTCGTTAATTGCCTCCATGAACAAACACATTCTTTACTATGAGAACTGATGAAGTGGATGGTGCCTGGCTATTTTTCAATATTGTGATAAAAAATTAAACACAAGAATTTGATCAAAGAAGGATGAATTTTACAGATCAAAATTTTACATTTTAATGGACTCTTGATTTTTTGAAGCCATGGAGGCTTGGTAAATCCTTGAACTGTTGCCTTGATATAATCTTTATGCCAAAAAGTCTTTAAACCCTCAAAAGCAAATACACTCACTCCTCACTTATTAATACAGTCAGATGCCCAAACCAGGACATTATGTGAAAAATGGAGTTACACAAAAATGGAGGAATTTTTTTTCAGACCATCTGTATGTGCATATTTTTATTAAGAAATAAAATCTTATGCACACCCATATTTATCGCAGCTTTGTTAACAATAGCAAGGAGTTGGAAACAACGTAATACCCATCAACAAATGAATGGATAGAGAAGCTGTGCTATATTCACACAATGGAATACTACGCGGCATTGAAAAACAATGAACTCATGCAATATTATTCAAATTGGGTGACCCTGGAGGACATTACGCTGAGTGAAGTATCTCAGTCACAAAACGACAAATACTGCATGGTGCCACTGTTGTAAAACAGGACTGACCTCGGGGTTGGGGGGAGATTGAGAAAGATGGGTTCAATAATGTATACTGCAGTGAAACAGATGAGGGAGAAAACTGTTTTAAAGGGATATGTGATTAGGTATTTTTGTCATGACAAGAGTCCAGAGCGAAGGCTGCCTAGTGGAGGGGACCTGGGAGGAGGGATTGTAAAACAATGAAAGAATTTTTCTTTTGCTTTTCCAAGAGGGTTGTGTACTAGGTGAGAGGGTTGGGAGGGGAGAACAGTGCAACAAAGAATGAATGGAAATCCAAAGTCTCTGTAAATTTTCATTGAAATTAATAATAAATTTAAAAAAGAGAAATAAAATCTTAAGGATCAATAAAAACTAAGATTTATACACTCATTACTGTGATGAGTCCAGGTACAGACTGTACCTCTGTGAAAGAGGTGACTTAGAGGAGACAAAGCTGGATCAAGCCAGTTGTATGACTGGGTAGAGTGGGAAGAAAGGTTTAATCACTTCATTTTCCTTCTGTACTGGGCCAGTGCTTTCTTATTGAATCCACTACCCATCGCCAGGGCTCTACTCCTCAGCAATGCTTACGCTGGACTGTGTTCAGGATCCTAGAGCCCGTCTGCCCTCTGGGCCTGGTAGGTCACTGGGGCACAAGACTTCCTCCACGTGCACCAAGACTCTGGCTGAGCACTCAGCCCCATCAAAGTGGAGGCTGCAGGCCTAGTATAATAACTTTGGGATGCCATGAAGCTTGCATGCATTTTTTTCCAAGCACCCTATCTGATGCCTCTTTTTCTTTCTCCCTTTTGCCCCTTCTAACAGCAGTTCTTAGCTGAATGGCCCTAGGTTGCACAGAAGCAGGTTCCTGCTTGCCTGGTGACCTCCACACATGTGCCAGGAGGAGCCCACCCACCCACCCATATCCTACAGGCAGGGCAGAAGGCACAGGATGGTGTGGCCCAGCATCCCAGAGACATTTCCCGAGGGACGGGATGCTCCACAACCATTGCCACTGTGTCCATCGCCTAGTTAATGCACAAAAAAACCTGGATTTTTATCTATTGTCTGTCCCTTGTCTGTCAGCTCACATTTGCATGTGGCTTTGACATTGAACAAACTTCAGCAGAGCTTCCAGGCAAAGAGGGACTTCTACAGAAGACAAAAGCTTTCAATATGGAGTACATCTCAACATCAAGAAAACAAAAATCCTTACTACCATGCCAACAGGAAGCATCATGATAGATGGAGAGAAGACTGAAGCAGTTAATGATTTCATCTTGCTGAGATCCATAATCAATACCCTTGATAAAATCAGTCTTTCCAGTAAGCAATCTGAAATACTGAGCTATGACACTGAACCTGGTACTTACAGAAAAAAGTTACACTAAGGAAATTTTGTTCAAGTTCAAGGCCTCAAACCTGTGCCTGAGATGGTTCTTAAATTCAGGTGGGATAGACTCAAGGTCGTATTTTGGTTCCTGTGGGCTTGATTTCACTTTCCTTAGCTTCAGCTTATAAAACTGCATATGAGTAGTGGGTGATCTGTTCCACAATCAGCACCAGGCCTAGTATTCACAGCTGACATTGAGCTTCTCCAGCAGTTCTTTCCACAGTTGTAATCTATCTGATTCCTATGCATACCATCAGGTGAGATCCATGTGTATAACCTGCATTTATGTTTACTGTAAAATGTATTTGCAGCAAATAAACTGTTGATTGTGCAAAATTCTCATTCTTTCTCCAGCTTCATTTCTGTCACCAAGTCCATGCTTTCCAACTACTGATCCTTCTTCTCTGTTCACAAATTTCACATTTCAGTCACCCATCACTATTAATGATACAGGCCATGGTCTTTGCAATCACTTGCTATGTATGCATCAGAAAGCTGGACAATGACTAGGGATGATAGAAGGAGAATTGATGCCTTTGAGCTGTGGTGTTGGAGAAGAGTATTTAACATACCATGAACAGATTTGTCCTGGAGAGGGTGAAGCCAGACTGCTCCTTGGAGGCAAGGATTCTGAAGCTTCGTCTGACATACTTTGGACATGTTGTAAGGAGGGGCCAGTCCTTGGAGAAGGATGTCATGCTTGCGAGGGGGGAGGGACAGCACAGGAGAGGAAGACCCTTGGTGAGATAGATTGATTCAGTGACTGGGGTAATGGGGGTAGGTGTGTCGGAGATGGTGAGATCGACACAGGATAGGGCGGAGTTTAGGGCTGTTGTACATAGAGTTGCTATAAGTCGCAGGTGACTTGACGGCACATAACAACAACAAGGAAATTTTGGAGGTACAATCAAAGTTTGATTTATGAAGATGGTATAACAAATGGAAAAACTGGAATCCATATAGGAGCTGTCAACTCACAGAAACCCTGTCAACAACAGAATAAATATTGCCTGATCCGACACCATTCTCACTATCCTGTGTTCTGCCATTGTTTTAACTTTGAATCATGCTCAGGCCACAGAAAAGGGTTCTCAAGGTCCAGCTGACGGCACATCTATGGCCAGTCCCTTGCTCTCCTCATCTCGCTCGGTGGTTTTCTAACTACCTGTGCATACATGTATATTTCTGACTGGGTCCAGTGGTGTGGGTGTGGATATAATGCAAGATTCTGTCACATCTAGACGGCTTGAGCTAGAACCCAGAGTACTGCTGCCTTCAGGCCTGATGTGTCAGAAAAGACTATGGCACAAGGGATATCACTGCTGCTGTCAGGTGGATCCTTGCTGAAAGCTGAGAGGACCAGAAAGATGTTTATCTCTGTTATTGACTATGCAAAAGCATTTGACTCCATGGATCATAACAAACTATCACTAATACTGAGAGACTAGAAATCTCAGAACAACTGTGCTCATGTGAAACCTATATCTAAACCAACAAGCTGCTGTCCTAACAGAACAAAGAAACACTGAATGGTTTAAAATTAGGAAAGGTGTGAGTCAGGATTGTATCCATTTTCCATACCTACTGAGTCCCTGTGTCAAGCTAATAACTCAAGAAACTAGACAATATGGAAAAAAAATGGCATCAAAATCAGACGAAGGCTCCTTAACAACCTGCATCATGCAGATGACACAATCTTGCTTACAGAAAGTGGAGAAGACTTGAAGCACTTGCTCAAAGATAACAACCTTCAATATGGATCACATTTCAACATCAAGGAAACAAAACTTCTCACCACCAGATCAATAGGCAAAAAAACATAATAGATGGAGAAAAATATAAAGATGTCAATGATTTCGTTTCGCTCAGATCCATAATCAACACCCACAGTAATAGCAGTGAAGAAATCAAGACATTTGGTTTTATAAAACACAACGTATAGGACCGATTAGATGAAACACAATGTATATGAATACTGTACGAAAACAAATATAAAATTGTTTAAGTATAGGCCTAATTAAATGCAGAGTGCAAGTATTTGCTGTATTTTGTATAATGAAAGCATTTGAGAATAGTAAAAAAAAGTCAAAAGATATGTTATAATGAGAAAACCTGCTCTAAACACCTCTCCAGAGTACTGAAGAGCAATGACGTCAGTCTGGAGACTAAGGTGAGCCTGATATAGGCTCACTTGCTATCAGAAAGCTGGACAATGACTAGGGATGACAGAAGGAGAATTGATGCCTTTGAGCTGTGGTGCTGGAGAAGAGTATTGAATAAACCATGGACTGCTGGGAGAGCAAACAGGTTCATCCTGGAGAGGGTGAGACCAGGCTACTCCTTGGAGGCAAGGATTCTGAAACTTCCTCTAACGTACTTTGGACACGTTGCAAGGAGGGACCAGTCCTTGGAGAGGAACATCATGCTTGAGAGGGTGGAAAAACAGTGCAAGAGAGGAAGATCCTTGATGAGTTGACTTGATTCAGTGACTGCGGTAATGAGGGTAGGTGTGTCAGAGATAATAAGGTTGACTCAGGAGAGAGCAGGGTTCAGAGCTGTCGTACATCCGGTCACTATGAATCACAAGCAACTCGACAGCACATAACAACAAAACACTTCATCCAAGGGCTAATGAGCAAAGGTGTCAGTTTAAAGACTAAGGTGCTTCTAATTCAAGCCATGGTCATTTCAATTCCTTCCCATGCATCTGAAAGTTGGGCTGTGAGTAAGGATGACAAAAGATGAACTGAGGTCTCTGAGTTGTGGAGCAGAGTGCTGAATACCCCATGGACGGCCAAAAGAACAAGCAAGTGT